ATCATCCATTCTGCCACAGGTCCCCACCTGTGGGCTCCTCCAGAGCAAGGCCAGCATCTTGCTCATCTCTGTGTCCCCCATAACGCTCTGTCCACGGCGGCGGTTTAATGCTTACACGCCCACCTAAACTGATTTGAGGTGGATCGCCTCAAAGACCTACCTGAGTGCAATGCAAAGGTGACCTCACTATCGTCGGGGCCCTCCATGCTGCCGACCACCCCTTCCTGGGGTTCTAGAACCCAGCCCTCTTCGTTGCCCTCTTCCTCCTCCTCTTCCTCAAAGTCCACATCTTCCATCTCCTGGGCGAGGTCATCTGCTTTGGGGAGAGGGTTAGAAGATGGGGCTCGGGAGGCGGTAAGAGGTACGGAGAGAAGCGTGAGGAGGCCTGAGGCTGGGGCGGGTAATGTGGCGAGAGGGGAAGGTGGAGTCAGACACACCGGGGTCCCGGGGGCGCGCGGGACACAGCACGGGAGGCCAGGGCTGGCCAGCGACCGTGCGGGAAGGGAGGGCCGAGGGGATGATGGGAAGGGGGTGTGTGAGGGGAAGGGCCAGAGGAGGCGTCAGGGAACCCCCACCCCAGCCAGGCCTGAGAACTAAGTCTGAGGAGGGGAGTGGGGGAGGAGGGGAAGAAGGATATCGGTAGGAATGACCGGTCGGGTGTGGAGGGGAGCGAGGAAAAGCAGGGGTCAGAGGCCAGGGGTGAGCGTCTCCTGTCCCATGGCCTGAGGAGCGGCAGTTCTCACCTGGGTCCGGCGGACCAGGATCAAGTTCTACCACCTCGATAATCTCTTCATCACCATGGAAGCTTAGGGTCTCCAGTGGGGGGGTGTCAGCAGCAGCCCCGCTTTCCGATTCGGACTCCATGCGGCGCAAGCGGCCGATCCACTTCTCTGGGCCCAAACGCCTCCCAGAGTCAGCTCTGCGCGACGACGCGGAACTCGAGCCCCTCCTCCCGGGAGGAAGTAGGCGTAGGCGACTCCCCGGCAGGAAGAGCGACGGCCGTTCGGCCAATACCTACGAAGGTTGGCTGGACGCCCCACCAATCACAGAGCGGCATTGGAAGACGGGGCCGGGGCGTGGTAGAGAGAACCCAAACTCCGCCCCACCTGACTCCGCCCCCAACTGGAGGGAAACAAGCGAGCGTGCGCGCCTCCGGGGTCTCCTGGGAAAAGTAGTTCTCCTGGGTCGGCTCTGCGGGCTTCTGGGAGATGTAGTTTCTGGTCTGTAGGCAGGACGGAAGGAGCGGGGGAGGCCCCTTACGCAAACTACAATTCCCGGCGGGGAGCGCGGTGAAGGGGGGTGGGATCTGAACATGGCGGCGGTGGTAGCTGCTACGGCGCTGAAGGGCCGGGGGGCGAGAAATGCCCGCGTCCTCCGGGGTAAGGAGAGGGACCCCGGGGAGGGCAGGACTGCAGAAGATCCCTTTTCTTTCACATCCAGCCTGACGGTAGCAGGAGGTCAGGGCTCTCGGTTCCTGCCCACACTTTTCTGCAAGATCTTAGAGTCTGGGGGTGAAGAGATGCTCTTTAGAGGTCACCCAGTGCATCCCCCCGCCTTTGGGTTGCTCGACACCTCCGGGGTCTTGCTGCGAGAGGGAGCTCCTAGGAAGCCTGTTAGACTCCCGCGCTCCAGGTGTTTCACACTCACCGCAGTGCAGAGGAAAGAGCCCCAGGCTTCTGGAGGCTTGGGTTCCAGCCCCGGATAATTAGCAGTTTGACCTTGGGCAAAGCAGTTTGTCTCTCAGGGCGTCAGTTTCCTCTTCCATACAGTGCAGGGGATGGAGTAGACTATCTTTAAGGTCCCTTCGAGTGCTAACATTTGCAGTTTCAAAACCTTTTCCCGGATTTCCTTCATACGTCTCATGAGAGTCCCACTGCAGTCCTTCCCATCCTGTCGTCTGAGGAAAAACAGCGAAGCTTTTCGTCCTGGCACCAGGGTGATGAGCTCGCAGTGACGTGGAAGTGGCTTCCAAAGGTGCCACCTCGATGGCGATTTTCCCATTTCCCTTTGGATTCTCCCTGGCACTTGTTACTTTAGACTGCAGTCACTCCCCTTCCCCAGATCTCAGCCGTTCTTCCCCAGCCCTTACTGCCCCCTGCCCCTCCCTGCTTGCTTTCTTCTCATCTCTTCTTACTGACCTCCCTTACCTCCATCCACAGGCATTCTCGCAGGAGCCACAGCTAACAAGGCTTCCCATAACAGGACCCGGGCACTGCAAAGCCATAGCTCTCCAGAGGGCAAGGAGGAACCTGAACCCCTATCCCCGGAGCTGGAATACATTCCCAGAAAGAGGGGCAAGAACCCCATGAAAGCTGTGGGACTGGCCTGGTGAGTTTTAACCACCGCTTTGCCCACCAACGGGGCGTGGCTTCTAGGGAAGGGCAGGACTCAGAAACTTCTCCAAGTTTCAGGTGGCGAGCTGAATCCAAAGTTGTGGGAACAGAATTGTTGGGTTCGATTGGAATCTGAGATGGGTGGGGCAGGGGAGATGGGAAAGTATGTGGAATTGAGAAGACAGTGGGTTTACTTTGGAGTAAGCTGAGTTGATCTGATTCAGACTTTGGGTCCCTGGCCTCATCCTCCCTTTTGGGAGCTTGGAGTGAGACTCAAGTTGAAGTAGTTCGCTGAGATCACGTGAGATTGTACTAGTTGTATAGTAGTACTTAGAAGGCGTTATGAACTTTGTGATTGGGCTCTGACTCTGACCTTAATACATATTATTGACCAATATTAAAGGGAAAGGAGGAAGAAATCAACTTTTTTCTGCATGTGAGGTGTGCTAGCACTTTGCCATGTAATGTTTTAGGGTTTGAGATAAATATTACATCCCCATTTCACAGAGGAAGGAACTGAGGCTGAGCTAGGATTCTCACCTGGTCTGTGACTCCATGCTCTTTCCCCCACACCAAAGTGCCTCCCAAGCAGTGGTTACTTAGCTTAACTGAGGGGAAAACTGGGAGGGGACCTTGACCAAGTCTCAGAGAGGGAAAGCTTCAGGGCTGCCTGGAAAATCCTGCACAGGTGCTATTGCAGGAATGCACAGCTCGTGCTGAGGATCAGGCTCTAGTGGGGAGGAGGAAAGAGGTAGGCAGAGACCCAGCCACACTGGGCCTTTTGTGCCATGCCTAGGAGTTGGACTTGGCCAGGAAGTGATGGAGCACTATTAAGGGGTGTTAAGCAGGGAAGTGACAGAATCTGATTTGCGTGGGTCCCTCCAGCAGCCAGCACAGAGGACAAATAGACTATAAGAGGTATTGCAGCATTCACGCAATTGATGAAGCTAGAATGACTCCCCCCAGCTCCTCTGGCTCAGGCTTGGCCCCTCCCCAAACCCCGTGCACATCTCCCCACCCGTAGGGCCATCGGCTTCCCTTGTGGTATCCTCCTCTTCATCCTCACCAAGCGGGAAGTGGACAAGGACCGTGTGAAGCAGATGAAGGCTCGGCAGAACATGCGGTTGTCCAACACGGGCGAGTATGAGAGCCAGAGGTTCAGGGCCTCCTCCCAGCGTGCCCCATCCCCTGATGTTGGATCTGGGGCGCAGACCTGAGGAGTGCTGCGACCCTCCTAGGCTATTGACTGTGAAGCCCTCAGGTTCCGCCCGGATTCCAGTTCTTGCCTCTGAGGTCCACCAGAGGGCGCATAAAGCCCAGGCTGCTGCCAAACCCTACCCCGCCCCACCCTACCCCGCCCCACACCAAGGAGCCACCCAAAAGCAAATAAAGTTATTGAGTGTTTAGTGGAAAGGAACCAGGTCTGGGTTTGTGAGTCCCTTGGGATGGGAGGGGCAGAGGGTGGGGCTGGTTACTCATGTGTGCTCCCTCTCCCAGAGCTCAGTGTTCCCAGCTGGATGGTGGGGCAAACCCAGAGACTTAAGTGCAACCAGCCTAGGCCCTGGGCCCTCAGGACCAAGCCCTCAGAGCTGCCGGCGGGGAGGGTGGGGTCCCACTCAGCCTTGAAACAATAAGGAGAATCAAAGAAGGTATTCAGGGTGTGGAGGCAAAAAAAAGCACGGCTCTTTACTGAGTCCAAAGGACTCTACTCTAGGCCTCAGTTTCCTCATTTGTTTTGTTGAGTTGTTTGTTTTGTTTTTTGAGACGGGGTCTCGCTCTGTTACCCAGTCTGGAGTGCAGTGGTGTGATCGTCAGCTCACTGCAACCTCCACCTCCTGGGCTCAAGTGATCCTCCTACCTCAGCCTCTTGAGTAGCTGGGACCACAGGTGAGTGCCACCATGCCCAGTTACTTTTTGTGTTTTTATTTTTATATTATTTATTTATTTATTTATTTATTGAGACAGAGTTTCACTCTTGTTGCCCAGGCTGGAGTACAATGGCATGATCTCAGCTCACTGCAACCTCCACCTTCTGGGTTCAAGCGATCCTCCTGCCTCAGCCTCCAGAGTAGCTGGGATTACAGGCACCCACCGCCACTCCCAGCTAATTTTTGTGGGTTTTTTTGTATTTTTAGTAGATTTGGGGTTTCAGCATGTTGGTCTGGCTCGTCTCAAACTCCTGACCTCAGGTGATCCGCCCGTCTCAGCCTGCCGAAGTGCTGGGGTTACAGGTGTGAGCCAACTTGAGGCCCAGTTTCCTCATTTGTAGGAGTTGGGACTGGTGATTTCTAAGACAAGAGTTGACATGGACTGAACCTGCAGTCCATCCCCTCCTCCATCTGCAAAACTGTAGGTATACATACAGCTCTTTGGGGAAGACAGTTAGCTCTCATGAGCTTTTGGAAAGGGTCCATGGTATAGCAAAGGTCAAGCACTACAGCCAAGGGGTCTCTTCCAGATCCAGTGATCCAGTGTGATAGGGCTGAGCTCTCCCTTTCCCCACCCAACTCCTGAGCCTTCACTAGTCTATTGCATCCATCCCTGGGAATTGCTGCGATAGAGTGTATTTAATTACCTTGGAAAAGGTGGGAGAAACCAAGCCAGAATGCAGAAGGAAGAAGTGGATGCTTCGGGCAGAGCCAGACATATTCCTGGAGCCATACAGGGTTTTAACTTCTAGACATAAACTTTATTACATTTATAATTGTGTCCCTTTGTGTGATATATTTAGGATTAATTACTTAATAGAGAAATCCTAACTATATCCTTAGGCTGATTTGATTTCTGCCCCCACCCGATAGACTGACCCTTGTCCCCCTTCCCCATTCCAGCTCAAGGCACTTAATATTACAAAGAAGGCAGTGGCTGGCTGGAGAGATGGGCCTCAAGTCAGAAATCCCCCAGTGCAACTTAAGACAAACAGAGAGAAGTCACCTTCCTCTTAGGACCGTCCCTGGGTTAGCAGGAGGAAAGAATACAGAAGTCTTCAGTACCACAGTGGGCTTCAGTATCTCCCTAACCAGGTGAAGGACCCCCAGGCATTTTCCCTACCCGCACCGAGTCTCTCTTCACCCTGGCTACTTCCTGGCCACACGTATGACTCTGCTCCTTACTTTCTGCTCTGAGCTGCCTGAATACAGGAAGCAAGAGTTCACTTTGACCAGAGATCTCAGAAGCCCACAAGGAGGCCCCAGCAGCTTTGAAGAATGGGGAGCAGATGGCCATCTGTGGCCTGCTCTGTCTTATACCGTCACAAGCCAGGAGCAAGCCCAGGGGAGATGCTGTTCCGTGTTGGCCTGTATAGGTTACTTTGCTCATTCTATTATCTGTCCCCCATCCCCAACCCAGATAAACAATATATATATGTCACTGAAACAAGAAGGGATTGAAGCAAGGAGACCCATAGGCACAGATCTCGTCTACCTTCCTGAGCTAAAAGATGCCAAACCAAAGGAATACAGGATAATGGCCTATGTGTCCAGGACGCCGGGGATAAATCTCTCTGGCTTTGCTGGGGGAAGAAGCAGCTCCAACTGCGTAGCCAAGAAGCCTGTGACAGAGGTGGGAGGGGAACCTCGTGACCTTGAAGTCACTTCTACCTTTCATATTCCCTTCTAGCTATCGAATAGGCTCTTTTCATCTTCCTCCCAACCCCAGCTGTTAGGAAGAATGTGGTGTCATATAGTCAGTGGTGGGGAGAAGACACATCTTCAGCCTAGTCCCTGCCAAGCCCACCAAGAGCAACGGTTAGTCCCTAGCTCCTCCGTCCCCACCAGGTACCCACACATCCATAGCCAGAGAGGCCACCTGTCTCCAGGACAGAAAGGAAACTGGGCATGTTACTCAAGGGGAAGGAAAGGGGCCTGAAGCCCAGACCACAGTCACAAGGCCCAGCCCTCTAGCTTGGAAGGGAGAGCCCAGGGTCAGGTGAAACAGGGGCTTGCTCCTTAATTGCGATCCCCCATCAGCTGCAGCACAAAGGTGAAGATGTAGATGATGTCTGTGTAAATCTGCAGGGCGCCAGTGATGTAGTCCTCCGGGCTGATGGTGTGCTTCCGGTTCCCTAGGACCAGCTGTGTGTCGTAAGCCAGGAACTGCAAGGATAGGGGAGCCAGAAGTGAGAACTCAGGCATCAGTGTCCAGAGCTCATTTTTGGTCAGCAGATTTGTCCTGGGGGCCTATGCGCCACACAGTGCTTAGGGCCACGTTAATGCACAGCATAACATATGGGCTCTATGCTGTAGCCGCTCATAGTCTAGCGAAGGAGGCAGACACACCGTTCTCAATGATATGGCTGACTAGTGTTCTAATAGCGGGCAGCGTCAACAAAAGATGGCGAGAGTGCCCACAAAAATCAATGGAACCTCTGGACAGTAGTGGGAGGAATGGCCAGCTATGGCCCCATTCCCTGCCTCCCAGGCAGTCTAAATTCATGCCCCCTTCCCTAGGTTCCTCCCCTCATCCCTTCAGCTCCCCTTCCTAGAGTGGGGCTGGGACTTACTCACCAGGGTGAAACAAATGGCCCCCAGAGCAGCATAGAGCATGTGAAGCCAGTAAACCTGGGGAAGAAGGGGACAGGGAATGGCATTAAAAACCTCAGCAAAGCACAGGCCCACAGGCCTCAGCTTCCCCCAGGATAGTGGCGTGACAGTGGGTAGAACTAGGGAAACTAGCTCTCCATGAAAGGCTACTGCCTTTCCAGATCCTGGAGGAAATTAAGACTGGTGCTATATCCAGCAGAGAAAGCAGAGGCCATCCTGCCATGGCTGTATAAAACCAATCTCCAAAGCCAGTCAAGGTACACAAGTGTCTACTATACTTCTAGAAAAAAGGCAGTTGAATTACAGTTCTAAAGGGGGCAGATCCAGCACCGCCCCCCCAGTCATGGACAGAATTCAATAGACCAGTTCCTACAGCCCAGCCTGGGAGGGGTAGACTAAGGAAGAAGGGAGGCTCCCCAACCCCTCTGGTAAGTATCAGAATCTGGGAGCACCCACAGGACAGCCCACATGACATGCCCACAGGTGGCCATCCACAGAAGGGCAAAGCTGGCCCATGGGCAGGCAGCCCTCGTGTCCCCATCCTTCCCCTTCGGCACTGTTCTCCCCCTGCTGAACGGAATAAAGGAAATAATTGGATCCAAAGACCCCCAAGGTCCCTTCCACCCAGGCCCACCATCTCAGTCCTCTGGGTTCCTCTCCCAGTCTGCCTCCTAGAACCTGATTCTCAGCTGCCAGGCAGAATGAATCCACCCCTTCCCCTAGGAGTGCAGTGATGCAGCCCAGAGCTTCAGGTGCTCTGGCTCCAAGGCCGCCCATCTCCAGATAGAGTCTACCCTCACCCACAAGGATGCTGCCTCCACGTTGGTGCCTTTGCTAGCCAGTCTAGAGGTTTTGGAGGTCAGAGCCCGCCCCGGGGGCTTTTGGGGCCTGCGAGACCATACTATATAGAAAGTCTGCTCCGAACACTGGATTCACTGACCCCAGCTCTCCTGGGACACTCACGTATTTGAAGTACAGCACAATGCTAGTGACAATCCCAGTCACCATAAGCACAATTCCCAGGACACAGAAGAGGCCTGTGCACGAGGTGAAGTCCACCTGCCAGGAAGGGAGAAGGAGGCACCTGTCAGACCGCTGTGACAACCAGTCCAGCCAGACTGGTCCTGCCAGGGAGTCCCAGTGCTGCCTCCTAGGGGACATGGGAGTGCCCACAACATTCTAAGGACAGAAACAGGACACAGTTTTGTAGGTGCAGGTGAGGAGAAGGGGATCAGGTCTCTAGGGAACATCCCTGGTGTACAGGGGTCCGGGCCTGCCCAGGCCTGCTCAAGGGCCAGGCCTGATAAGAAAGGGGAGTCGGGGGGGCCAGGGAAGGGCCCTCCATGCCCTCACCTTGGTCTGAAAGCAGAAGATCGTGACTGAAATGGATACCACCGCAGTGATGATCATTGCAATGATGACGGCTTTGGTTTGGTACATACTGGGGAGAAGTAGGAGTTAGAGACAACAGGCATTAAGCCACATATGAATGACTTCAAAATCACCACCTCCAGAGGGCACCTGCCCAGAATCCACCCATGCATCTGGCTGCCGGCCCAGGAACACCCCACTCCCCACAATACACACTTCCCAGGAGTGGTGCTTTACCCCTGAATGTACCTGGAAATGGTACCTGTCATGAAGCCCATGGCAAAAGTCTGAGGGAAGGAGAGAAACAAGAATGAAATGCTTAAAAAGGAAGGCAGGCAGGGTGCTGGGGGAGTGGCCATGGTGGCCTCTGCCAGAGCTGGGGAACGCCACCAAGTTGGAAAGAGGCAGCCACAGAGGAGATCAGAACAGGCGGCCCAGATAAGGTGGGGGACACAGCCAGGACATCATTCTGCAGTGTGTCCCCATCCCTTCCCTGGGACCAGCCTCCCTCACAGCATCTCCACACCCTCCCGCCACCCTTCTAGACTTACAAAAAGGGTCAGCAAGATGATGTTCCATGGGAAACGGCGTCTGAAGGGAAACAGAAGCCCTGATTAAATGACTCGGGGCCCCTCAGGTGTCAGAGGTTCCTGCAGCAGAAGGAAGTGCTTGGCTCCCGTGCCTGGAGGATTAAGCCGTGACTCCAAGGAGGGAGGCTGGCATGGCCTTTGGCACCTGTTCAGGTGTTCTACACAGGGACAATATAGGCCAGTGGGACAGACCTGTGCTGTGGTGCCAGAAACGCCTGGACTGGTTTGCAGCTCAGGCTCTTACTGACTGCCTGTGTGACGCGGAGAAAGTTACTCAGCCTCTTTGAGCCTCAGGTTCTTCCTATTTGTTAACTGGTTAAAATGCTACCTGTCTTGCAGGGTTGCTATTAGAGTGACAGCTAGTTAGCTCCTGCACACACATGGTCCTTTGTATACACCTGAACAGTAGCTGCCATCATCCTCCTCCTCATTTCTTGTAAGTTTCCATTCAGCTGCTATAAAGGAATCCTTTTTCTTTCCAAAATACTCGGTCCCCATCCCAACCCCTGTCACCCCTCTCACTGTCTTAAGTCTCTGGGACTCACCTGGGTCCCTGGCAGCAGGCAAGGATCAGGTAGGTGACAACGAAGACAGCACTGGGGAGAAAGAGATGGGGAAGCAGTTCAGGCCCAAACCTGCCCCATCTGGCAGCACACACCAGGCCAGTGAGTCGGGGCCCAAACAGCTGTTTGGAAGTCTGAGGGAAAGCAACACAACAGGAAGCAAGAACAAGATTACCCCCAGCCAGGGTCACTGAGATGCTCTGAAGCACCAGGCTCTGGCCAGGAAGGAGGTCTGGGGAGGCTGCAGTTGACGGGCTGAGAGGACATGGGGGCTGCAGCACAGCGTGCATGCCACCACCAGCAGGTCCCACTCTTGCTCTCTTGACTTCTGGTGGTCTGTTACTCATCTGGGCATGCACACCCACACCCTCTGGCATAGGAAACTGGCACCAACTTGGGGGCCCTCCCAAAAAGTATTTTGATCCTGCCCTGAGCAAAGCTGGTCACCTAGAAACAGAAGCCTGCAACCCCTGCCTCCCTGCCCGACCACAGAGGAGCACACACTCACTAGGACACGTAGTAGACAGCCACATTTCTCCTCACAAAGGCGCTGACAGGTTCCCTGTGGGGCAGGGGAGGACAGGAGGAGTCACCCTGAGGCTTGTCTGCCCCACCCAGGCCTGCCAGGCAGCCCTGGCTCCACCTTCTCTAATTGCCCATGGTCACCCTGAGAGCAGGGCCCACGGCCACCCACACTCCCAGCAGGTGACCCTGAACCCCCAGGGTGGCAGGAGTGGGTGGCAAGGCCTAGAGACTTACACAAAGGTGAAGATAGCGATGATGGCCACGGTGATGAGCAGCTGCACGGAGATGATGGAGTAAACCTGGATACAGACGGCCGGGCATGGGTCACCATCTGGCACCCCTGGCCTCCCCCAGGAAGCTGCCAGCCCCCAATCCTTTCCTCCCACTCAAGAACCCTTCCTAGCTGCAGCCTGGCCCAGAGGCGACCCCAGTGAGATGCCTGGCTCAGAGGCTATGTGTCCTCAGCCCCGCTCCCATGCTCCCTGCCATCTCCCCTCCTGTCCAACACCAGCCTCGGTGACTACTGACTTGCCCTGCCTGGCCACCATGCTCTACCAGTACAGCCTCTGCACACCCAGCAGCTCAGTCTGCATGTTCTGTGCAGCTATGAGATAGAAAGGGTGGGTTACAAGCGAGTAGGATCATTTCTGGCTCCAAGCTGCCTATAGTCTAAGAAAGATGTCTGGGGAAGGTGGGCACTGTGGCAGAGCCCACCTAGGAGATTCTCCCAGACTGAATGTGTCCTCCCAAAACATGGTCAAGAAGAGAGGTGCAAAAACAGGGGGAACCTTGGGGTTAGAGAAGCCAGGTGTCCCTCTGAGAAGCAGACAAGGCTAGAGAAGACAGGCAGCCAGCGTATTTCATGGAATTGGTGCCATGGAGCTACTGTGGCCTACCCACTCCCCATTCCCACAGCCTGAAGGGCCCCAGGTACACCCACCTCCCTTACCTTTCGGATAAAAGTGTGTCGCACTTTCCGGTCATCCCACTCTCCAGGCCCGAAGCTATCACTCACCGCTCTCTCCTCCCCATCATAGCCATGGCCTGGGCCTAGGGACAGATGACACTTGACCAGCTAGGGACCTGAGATATGTGGCCTCAATCCCAAAGCCTCCCTGACACTCTCAAAGTCTCAGGTATCTCCAGCCAAAAGACAAGTGTTATAACAGGAACTCTTCTCCCAAGCTGGGGTCCTCTAGACACCCTCAGAGTGACCCAGAGCTGGCCTGTCACAAGGGGGTTTAGGTGGGAAATGTTCCTCGCATGTATCTGTCGAGGGTTTCTGTGTGCCCAGCCCACACCACTAGGGGTTCACTGCGGGGTCATAATGTAGTGAGGAAGCCAGGCAGGAGCATGTGCGAGCATCCACTGGGGCAGCCAGCCAGGGCAGAACAGGGGACATGGACAGAGGGTCGGAGAAAAAGAAGGCAGCAGAGTGCAGTTTGTGCAGCAGCAGGGATGGAGCTGAAGACGGGGATCTGCATCAGCCTCACAGAGGCAGGTGTGCAGAGGGTATGCGTGACTGTGCAAGACCCATGCGCAGATCCGCACGAGCGCACATGTCCAGGTGAGAGCTGGCTGACAGCCCTCTGGGGTTCAAAGACGCTGCAGGGCTGCAAACATTCCCTGGATGCCTGAATGCCTCTTTTTTGAGACAGAGTTTCGGTCTTGTTGCCCAAACTGGAGTACAATGGCATGATCTCGGCTCATTGCAACCTCTGCCTCCCGGGTTCAAGTGATTCTTATGTCTCAGCCTCCCGAGTAGCTGGGATTACAGGCATGTGCCACCACACCCGGCTAATTTTTTGTATTTTTGGTAGAGACAGGGTTTCACCATGTTGGCCAGGCTGGTCTTGAACTCGTGATCCGCCCACCTCAGCCTCCCAAAGTGTTGAGATTACAGGCGTAAGCTACTGCACCCAGCCTCTTTTTTTTTTTTTTTAGACAGAGTCTCGCTCTGTTGCTCAGACTGAAGTGCAGTGGTGCGATCCTGGCTCACCGCAACCTCTACCTCCTGGGTTCAAGCGATTCTGCTGCCTCAGCCTCCCAAGTAGCTGGGATTACAGGTGCACGCCACCACACTCAGCTAAAGTAGCTAGGATTACAGGTGCACACCACCACACTCAGCTAAGTTTTTGTATTTTTAGTAGAGATGGGGTTTTGTCATGCTGGCCTGGCTGGTCTCAAACTCCTGACCTCAGAAGATCCGCTCACCTCAGCCTCCCAAAGTGCTGGGATTACAGGCGTGAGCCACCACGCCCAGCCCCACCTCATTTCTGACTGAACACAGCATGTCCCTGCCATGATATTTACCAAACTTGGCTCCAAATGTCTTTTGCAAAAGTCAGATTTCACTTTAAAGGATGAGGAAAGTGGTTCAGGTTCCCAAAGGAGTTCCTAAGGAAGGCATCAGGTTTGGGAGGTGGCAGCAGTTTGTTGGGAAACAGAGCCGGTGCCCTGAGGTAACCCCTCAGGAGTCATTACTTGACCCAGCCCCATTCTCCTGTGCTGTATACTTGTTCTGGGACATGCCTCGTGGGTCTCCTTGAACAAAGGGGCCAGCAGGTGGCTGGGGGCCAGTTGCTGAGAGAAAAAGTGGAGGGTCACAAAGACAAGAAACAGAGGGAGAGATCTCAACAGAGAAGATGAGAAAAGGGATTTAAAGGGAACCAAAAGAGAAAGGGGACAGGAGGTGGTGGCCTCATCTGCTCCAAGTGCTGTCCCTCCCACCCACCCTCCATCTGCCCTTCCAGGACTCACCATAGTTCATGGGCATCGGGTGGATGGGGGGCATGGGCTGTGGGTAGCCAGCAGGGTGACCGTAGCCAGGCTGCGGGTAGCCAGGGTAGGCAGGATACCCTCCTGGCAGGACGGATGGCTGCCCATAGCCCCCAGGGGGCGGAGGGCCTGGGTATAGGGGGTTGCGGTCCTCATATGGTGGTGGGGCGCTGGGGTTGGACATGGCCGCAGGCTCACAGGCTGAAGGGGAACCCCAGCTGCTGGGACCTGAAATGGAAGAGGAGAAAAGCAATCATGAATACCCAGGCCCAGCTCACTCAGCCTCGTGGCTCCACTTCCAGCCTTATCCAGGTTGCCTCTGTGGAGAGGAACACCTCCTATTTTCTCCTTAGAGGGCAGTGTGTCATTTGCTGTCCACAGGCCGCCTCCCCACCAGCTGGGCTCCTGTCCCTCCTGCCTCTGCGCCTGCTTTTTGTCTACGGGCCTCTCACTGTGCGGCTCCCCAGCCATAGGAAAGCAGGAGGAAGGATTCACTGAGGAGACAGGGAACCAGGGAGCCTGGGAACTCCCTGTTCTCATTTAAGAAAACCTTCCAGTGTTGGTGGCTTGATGGCAGAGCCAGCGAAGAAGCCAGATGGCCCAGGCACAGCCTCCTGGCAACTCACAGGTCCAGCTGGGACCCTCTGAAAGGGTCAGCTCTGCCCCTGCCACAGCTGCCACGGGCATGCCAGGCCTGGAAGCCAGAGCTGGGTTGGAGCCCAGGCTCGAAGTGGAGAGCCAGGGGGAGAAGTGGAGGAAAACAAGCTAGCCCCAGCGCCAGAGCTGCCAGGCCCCAAGGGGGAAGGGATCCAGGGACCCGGGGGCCAGTGGCAGGCTGAGTCAGGAAGCCTGAGAAGCAGGGGTGGGTAGTACAGGGGCTGGGGGCGGGGAGGCTGTGCCAAAGGGACAGCCTGAGACAGGACTTTCTGGTTCCTTCAAATAACAGCAGTGGCGTGTCAGAAAGGCATGTGGCAGCCTGCGACCACGGCTGCTCTCTGGCCTTGCTAGGGAGGAGAGAGTGAGTGCAGGGCCCCTCGGCCCCCCCGGAGGGGGAGACAGATGTTCTGAATCCCAGGCTCTCTGTGAGTTCCACCTGTTTTCCAGGTGCAGTGCTAGCAGGGAGGAGAAAGAGCTGAGGAGTCAGGCCACAAGGTCAAGGGAATGCCTTCCCTGCAGCAGGAAGAGTCCCACAGCCAGGGGAGAGCCAAGGAACCAAGGGGAGGGAACCCCAAAATGGAGTTGGAAGGGACCTCGAGGCCATAAGCTCCAAATGCTCACTTCAGATGACAGAATGCAGGCCCTTAACAGGGAAGTGATTCCCCAGGACCCCAGAACTCGCAGGTCAGTGGCATAACCAGGACGGAGGCCTTCCAAATCCTGGGTCCAGGTCCTTTATGTCATGGGGTGCTCTTATGCCTCCTCTGCCAGTTACTGTCCTCTGGGCCTGGTGGTCCCCTCTGAGGTAGCGGAGATGCAGGCTTAGGAAGAGCTAAGGAGGCCCCTGCATCCCCAGTAAGGACAAGCCCTGGCAGTCTGGGCTTGACAGGGCCACCACCTCTTCTAGAGCATCTACAGGGGGCTTTAGGATCCCCAAGGAGGACACCCCCAGATGCAGGTCAGCAGACACCAGAGGCTCTCAGAGGCTCTGCTGGAAGCAACAGAGACCAGCATCTCTTTTTAGGGCACGCTGCACAGTTCAGGGATCAGATAAAGGACTGTCTTAACTCTTCTCTCTTAAGACCACTGGGATAATTCAGAGACAGGAAAGTGGCAGGGAGGGTTGAGGAGGGGGAATTGAACAAAGTCCAGGTCTCTAAGTGGGTTATTTTGAGGAAAGCTGTTCTCCATCTCCCCAGAGGGGCTGGGATAGAACCAGGGCAAGAATGTCAGGTCAGAAATACAAAGCTGGCCTGGTGCAGTGGCTCACGCCTGTAATCCCAGCACTTTGGAAGGCTGAAGTGGGCAGATCATGAGGTCAGGAGTTCGAGACCAGCCTGGCCAACATAGTGAAACCCTGCTCTACTAAAAATGCAAAAATTAGCCAGGCATGGTGGCGTGTACCTGTAGTCCCAGTTACTCAGGAGGCTGAGGCAGGAGAATCACTTGAACCCGGGAGGCAGAGATTGTGGTGAGCTGAGATCACGCCACTGTACCCCAGCCTGGGCAACAGAGCAAGACTCCATCTCAAAAGAAAAAAAAAAAAAAAGCACTGGCCGGAAAGGCTCCATGGGCAGAAACCCCAACCATGATGTCACCATGACGTGTCCCAGCACCTCCTCAGGGTGCACCGCTGTGAAATGAGGTGGGGGCCACACGACCTCTAAGCCCACTGCCCCCTCTAACAACAGACTATGATCCTGGGAACTTGGCTCTGCAGGGCCTGACCTTTGCTTGGCCAGAGAGCTGCCCCTGCTCCCTCCTCTGAGCCAAGCAGGGCAAACAGGTAACTTTCCAGACCAAGTGGCTGTGGCAGCCACCAGGTGAAAGGTGACTCAGAGAGAAGGGTCAGCCTCCCATGGGCCGCCAGGACTCCAAGGTTCTGGTGCAGCTCAGAGGGTGCTGACTCAGAGCCTCACTCTTGCCTCCCTTGCCCCTCCCTTTCAGGCTTTTGGTTTCAAAAGCATGTGCTAGTAGGCCTGCCTGCACACAGCAGTTTCCAGGCCAGTCCTCCGGGCACCTCAGCCACCAGTCCATCCACACCAGAAACTGCCATGACCACTTCAATTCACTATGCCTCAGTTTCTTCACCTGGAAAATGGGTCTCACACTAGTAATAGTACCCTCCACGGGGCTGCTATAAAAATTAAGTGAGAAAATACACATAGCAGGCCTGGCACAGTGGCTCACGCCTGTAATCTCAACACTTTGAGAGGCCGAGGCAGGTGGATCACCTGAGATCAGGAGTTCGATACCAGCCTGGCCAAATGGTGAAACCCCATCTCTACTAAAAATATAAAAATTAGCTGGGCATGGCAGCAGGCGCCTAGAATCCCAGTTACTTGGGAGGCTGAGGCAGAAGAATCACTTCAACCGGGGAGGCGGAGGTTGCAGTGAGCCAAGATCGCGCCACTGCACTCCAGCCTGGGTGAGAGAGCAAGACTCCATCTCGAAGAAAAGAAAAAAGAAAATACACATAGAGTGCTTAGAATGAAACCCGACCCCTGATCAACGAGGATAAAGGTTGGTTATTTTCATTAAATCCTTACAACAGTCCAGCAAGTTAATACTGTTATTATTATTCCCATTTACAAGTGAAGAGATCGAGGCACAGAAGAATTAAATCACTTGGCCAGGATAACCAAGCTAAAGTGTGATGAAGTCGAAATGAGCCCCAAGACTGACTCCCAAGCGCCTGGTCTTAATCTCTCCCCCGAAAACACCCTGTCTAGCCAACCTTCTCATCCCTTCTGCCATAGCTTCCATCTAAAACCCTTTCATAACAACAGGAGGCTGACGCAAGTGGAAGCCAAACTACTCAGGCCCTCCACATCACCATGGGGCTAACACCCTGGCCAATGGCCCCGGGTGAAGAGGGTGGCCCAGGCATGGAGATACATAAAGGTTAGAGCTGAAAAGAAACTCACCCAAGGCCAGCCAACCCCTCACTTTACTAACTAGACAGCCATAGCACAGGGACCTGTCCTTGGTTACCAAGCTGGTCCTGGGGACAGGACGATGTCCTAGCTGTCTGCATAGAGACCTGGGTACAGGAGAGGAAACCCCAGCATTAACACTAGCTAGGGGAATTGCTAAACTCAGCCACACTCACCTCTGAGCAGTGCCAAGAACACTGTCAGACTGGCAAGAGCCTCCGGGGCCCATGGCTGCCAGGTCTGGCAGCCTTAGAGCCTGCTCTTGGGCTCCTGCCCAGCCTCCATAAGGGCCCTGGGCACTTCCACATCATCGAGGCCTCCGCTAGGAATGAGGTGTGGGGCTGGCATCTGCCTAGGTAGCAGCAAAGGGGGAAAGGGTCAGTGTTTACTTTCGTAGCTATGTCTAAGGGTAGAGACTGGAGAATGGAGGGGAAGGGAAGGAGGGAGAAGGGGAGAGAGATCACGAGATTGACCGAGAGTGAGGATGATACCCAAAGACTAGAAATCAGATCTTCCGGGTTCTGCCAGCAGCTGCTAGAGGGGCTCACAGTCTGCAGGGGCTAAAAAGGAATTTTAAGGTTCACACTGGAAGCCTGAATTTTCCCAAAATACAGTAGGCATTCACCTTCTGCTTGTTTTTGTTTTTTGTTTTTTCGGTAGAAACAGGATTTCACCATGTTGGCCAGGCTGGCAAACTCCCGGCCTCAAGTTAGCCACCCACCGAAACCTCCCAAAGTGCTGGGATTACAGGCGTGAGCCACCGCGTCTGGCCCACCTTCTGCTTGAAGGAACTCCAGCAATGTGGAGCAAGCCCCTTGGCTGCAGACAGCTCGAATCATTAGAACATTCTTCCTCGCCTCACAATGCCTGGTATCAAGGCATTCAGACTGTGCCCTATCCTTGCCCGTTATAGATCTAAGTTTGCTCCTCTCTCAGGGCCACAGTACCCCATTAGGAAGGAACCAGAGCCCCTGCTTTCTACCACAGCAGCGGCACAAGTGGGTGAGCTCAGACAGCAGGACTTGCTGGGTGTCACGGTTTTCAGATGCAGAGGTGGAAGCACATCCTCCCTGGAGCCCTCTCAGTGTGGTAATCCTGCTGTTGGCCTACTGAGGCCCCGGCTGGGGCTCTCCTGGGGGTATCTGAAGGGTTAAGGCTCCGGAATCTGCAGAGGAGGCCTGAGCTACTGGGGTTACAGCAAGAGGAAAGTGTGTGTACTGGACGGAGGGATGGAAAGGAGCAGCTGACTGGTCCAGGCAGCCTGCTCTCCTCCCTGCCAGGGACGGATGCCCAGAGTGGAAAGAATAGCTCAGAATGCGCATCTCAGGAAACCCCACCCAGCAGGCGCAGGAGCACAGCCCGGATCTGACGGTTTGTTCCCCTCCCTTTTCCTTTATCTGCCCCCACAAGAAAACACTTGATCCTCCTACCCCAGGGCACAGCTGACCTCATAGCCACGAGAGCAGACGAGTAAAAAGATATACCGAGGAGCGCATTTGGGCAACTCACCAGGCCTGATTCTGCACCAAGGGGGCCCAGAATCAACTAAATATCCTTCCATCAACCTGAACTTTGGGATTAAGAGGATGAAGCCACAGGGATCTAAACACTAAAATATCAGAGCTGGCTTAGACTTTGGATCTCAGCTGGTCATTTGACAGACAAGGAAACCCCAGAGCCAAGAAAGTTCCTGCTCCACCCCAGAACAGCCCTCTTGGTCATGGGTTTGGAACGTCCCTTCCCAGCCCTGCCCACTCTCTCAGTGACAGACACCACCACACACCCTCTCCCAAGGAGGAGCTAGAACAAGCTACCATTCTCTCAGTTCTCTAGTGACCTCTCAGCTCAGAAACAGTTAAGACCAGGCCGGGCGCAGTGGCTCACGTCTGTAATCCCAGCACTTTGGGAGGCCGAGGCAGGTGGATCATGAGGTCAGGAGATCAAGACCATCATGGCTAACATGGTCAAACCCCATCTCTACTAAAAAATACAAAAAATTAGCTTGGCGTGGTAGCGCACACCTGAAGTCCCAGCTACTAGGGAGGCTGAGGCAGGGGGATCGCTTGAACCAGAGAGGCAGAGGTTGCAGTGAGCCAAGAACACGCCATTGCACTCCAGCCTGGGCAACAAGAGTGAAACTCCGTCTCAAAAAAAAAAAAAAAAAAGACTGCCAGCCCTCGACTTCTGGCCCCCAACTCGAGGCCACCCCTCCCAGCCCCCTCTCTAGCCAGGGTGGCCTCTATCTGAACCCATGGAGACCGAGGGGTGGCTCTAAGCTACCAGGAGGGAGAGGCTGTCCTGGGGATCACTAGAGGACCCAGGCACCGCAGCTCCGCCACCCTTGTCTGGAGTAGAATCCTGTGATCAGAGTGGTAATCTCAGGTTACCCCACCCAAGTCAGGATGGCCTGGGAGTACAGATAAGGGAAGAGGAAGCCATTAGCAAACTGATGCTGAAATACTTGTGAGCGCAGTCCTTGTTCACCTCCTTCTTTGTTTCATCATCTCCTGTCTTTTCATTGAACCTCAATATTAGGAGGGGAAAGAGACAGAAAAACGAGACTGATAACTAACCCCAATAAAGAACTAGGGAACGTGGCCGGGCGCGGTGGCTCAAGCCTGTAATCCCAGCACTTTGGGAGGCCGAGACGGACGGATCACGAGGTCAGGAGATCAAGACCATCCTGGCTAACACGGTGAAACCCCGTCTCTACTAAAAAATACAAAAAACTAGCCGGGCGAGGTGGCAGGCGCCTGTAGTCCCAGCTACTCGGGAGGCTGAGGCAGGAGAATGGCGTAAACTTGGGCGGCGGAGCTTGCAGTGAGCTGAGATCCGGCCACTGCACTCCAGCTTGGGCGACAGAGCGAGACTCCGTCTCAAAAAAAAAAAAAAAAAAAAAGAACTAGGGAAGGCATGGTGGCTCACGCCTGTAATCCCAGCACTTTGGGAGGCCAAGGTGGGTGGATCACGAGGTCAGGAGATCAAGACCATCCTGGCTAACACGGTGAAACCCCGTCTCTACTAAAAATACAAAAACTTAGCTGAGTGTGGTGGCAGGCACCTGTAGTCCCAGCTACTCGGAAGGCTGAGGCAGGAGAATGGAGTGAACTCGGGAGGCGGAGCTTGCAGTGAGTCAAGATGGCGCCACTGCACTCCAGCCTGGGCGACACAGCAAGACTCCATCTCAAAAAATAAATAAATAAAATAGCTAGGGAAGGAAGGCAACCACTTAGAGTAGCTGAACTACTTCCAGTACTTACTACACAACTAAGGAAGTCCAGGTTGAATATCCCTCATTTCCAAAATCCAAAATACTCCACAATCTGAAACTTTTTGACCACCAAGATGACACTCAAAGGAATGCTCACTGGAGCATTTCTCATTTCAGATTTTCAGATTAGGGATGCTCAACCAGTAAGTATAATATACATAGCCCCAAATCTGAAAAAATCCAAAATCCATTTGCTGCTGCCACTGTAGATGTCTGCCCCCATGGGTATCGTGCCTATATGCTGGAGTAGGAGAGTAAAGTGTTTTCTTGGGGGTGGAAGGGAGTTGGGGTGGGTAAAGGAAAAGGGAGGGAAGGAAATTGTCAAAATGGTCCCCATTTTGGATAAGGGATACTCAACCTATAATAACTAAGGCACATCTGATCCTTGCAACAGTGCTGTGAGGTATTCTTACCCCCATCCCACTCTATAGATGAGAAAACTGAAATTCAGAGAAGAAAAGATCTAGGGTCCCACAGCAGGCAAACAGCAGAGATGAGTTTAAGCCCAGATCTCATGCCTGATTTAAAATTCAGCCTCTTTGCTTTTATATCAGGCAGGAGTAGAAGCCCCTGAGGCACCTGTAGCAGGCACCTGCATGAATAGGCAGCACCCAGGGTGGGGGCCAGGCAGCAAAGATCAAAACGATAGAAAGGAGCTGAGCA